GGTGCACAGAGGCGGGGAGAAGAACCCTGCTTTTACTTGTTCCCACAGGCTTCTGGCCAAATGCCTTGAGTCACCTTCCTCTGGAATCCTGTTTTCATTGGGAACTGGCTCAGAGAAAGGAGACAGAAGTGTTTGTGGAACACCCCTGTCTCTACCTTTTTAGCAACAGTGTAGAATCAATGAAGGGCTGTACAGATTCATTTCAGTGGTACCAGTACTCGCATTTGAAGACTTCTTGGGTAAGATAAAATTCAAAAACGTTATGCAAAGCATAAAGCACTGACAAAGGTAGGCCTTATTACTCTGAACCTCCTGGTCTCATCTCAGCTCCTATAGGGAGGGCCTTCCACCTTGAGATAATGCCCCTAGGGGCTGCTGATGAACCTGGATGACCCTACTCAGGTTTTTCCTATAGGTGACCTCTAGTTGGTGGACAGTTTGTAAGTGCTCAGCTTCTCATGTTGGAGGCATGAATGTAAGGCAGCCGGCATTTTTTTTTTCTTGCCTTAAGTCAGCATTCAGCTTTTTCTTCCTCCCCACCCACTGCTTGTCTGAGTCAGTGTACATGAAACTTCCTTGCACAGATATTTTTGTGGTGATTGCTCACGAAAGTTTCTCTGAGCTGCAAGAAACAATAAGGAAACTTGCAAACAAATGCCTCTGCTTATGATTCTTATGAACTTACGAATTGAAACAGGGACTCTATTAAAAAAGGTGACTGACATACCATTTTCCACAAGGATCTAGTTTTATTTATTTATTTATTTATTGAGACAGGGTCTTACTACCTAGTCCAGGCTAGCCTGGAACTTGCTGTATAGCTCAAGCTGGCCTTGAACTCATGTTCAAAGGCACATGTGTTAAAGGCTTGGTCCCAGCCCCTCGTACTATTGGAAGGTAGTAGAAAATTTAAGAGGCAGGGCCTAGTGGGAGATTATTCGATTATGGGGTTTGCCCTTGAAGAAGGACCTGATCCCTTCTTTTCTTTTTGTTTTTTTTTTTTCCTTGATGGCACTGGAGCTTGAACTCCAAGCCTCATGCTTGCTAGGCAGGTACTCTACCACTTGAGCCACTCCATCATCCCTTTTTTTTGTGTTGGGTTTTTCGAGATATGGTCTTGTGAACTATTTGCCTGGGCTGACTTCAAATCACCATCCTCTTGATCTCTCCCTCCTTAGTGGCTAGGATTACAGGCATGAGCCACGGGTGCCTGGCTCCCCTCTTCTTTCTTGTTGGTTCCCTTCCTTGCCAGATGAAGAGCTTTATCTACCATGTTGTTCCTGTCATGATATACTGTCTCACCACAAAGCCCCAAAGCAATGGCCAACTGATCATGGACTGAAACTTTCAAATTTGTGAGTCAAAATAAATTTCCTTCTTTTAAAGTTGTTTATCTCAGGCTTTTTGTTACAGTAACAGAAAGCTGCCTGAGACAATAAAGTAAAAACTTTCTCTTTTATCTCTGTTCTTCAGCTGTCTTAACACCTCTTCCTTGAAGGAATGGATTCCTTGTTTTATCTGCATTTTACAGATATAGTAAATAGAACTTTTAAAAAAGGAGACATACATCTTAAGGTATATATTTAAGATACACATAGATATCTATAAAATATATTTAGGTAGTGACAGGTTACTGTAGTGAAGCAATGAACATATCCCATCATCAGTTATCCATTTATTTTTGTTTTTATAGCAAGAGCAGCTAAAATCTACTCATTTATCATAAATCCCATATACAGTTCAATTTTATTACCCATAGCTCTCATGTTGCATATTGGATCTCCAGACCTATATATCCTACATATCTACTACTTGGTATCCTCTCACCTACCTCCCCCAACCACACACACACTGTATTAGACAAACAGGATTCAAAACTAGCCGTCTCAATTGACAATAACCCATCTCAGTCCAGTGGCAACCCGTCCTTCTGGACTATACATCAGGACTTATATCAATCCGAGGTTTAGAGTTGTTTTCCACATGAGTATAGTATGAGCTGTTCTCAAGGGGGAAAGAAACTAGAAAAAGCAACTAGAATAGACATGAAAGAATATATTTTAGTTATTTTTTTGCAGTGAAGTGCCTCACACTTGCTAGATAAGCACTCTACCATTGAGCCACACCCCCCAGTCAGAAAAAAATACCTTTTAAAGTGTTAATGTTCTGAATTTTATACCATTAAATCAATCTCTACCAAACAGAGTTACATTGTCAAATTTTAAATACCTGATTTTCTAAAGAAAACTATTCCCAGGCCCAGGGTTCAGAGCCCCCACTGTTAGTCTGCATGGTATTCATGGTCTATTTTAATTGACAGTCAAAACAAAGGACTGGGGATATAGCTCAGTAGTAAAGTGCTTGCCTAGCAAGCGCAAGAAAGACCCTGGGTACAACCCCCAGCACCACACACACACACACACACACAAAGATAAATAAATAAAAGAGACAATAGTCAAAAGAAAACAATCAGCAACTTTTTGCTTTTTTTTTTTTAATTCTTGATGTTCAAAATAAGTAGTTCTGAAATATCAGGTTCCATCAAAATTACCTGTGATGTTCAAATGCAGATTCCTGGGTTTTAGCACTGACCTAGAGGGTTTGGATCTCTGGGAGGACAGTCTTCAGAAATGCGTTTTTTTTTTTTTTCCCCAGCACCCAAAGTCATTTAAAGAGGTGGCAGTCTGACAAATGCACTCAGTTCATGACAACATGGAACAGAGTTTGTGTTTTCCAAAGTGGGTAACAACTAAACTTTCCATCATGCATAATTTTGCAGAATCTTATCATTCTTCTTTCAATGGGTGGACTCCATGTCCTTGGAAATGGGTGGGCTTTTATGGCTGGTTGCCCAATAGAGTATGGTGATGTGATGCTACGTACTTTCACAGGTCAAAAGAGGCAATTCAGCAGGAGGTGGTTGAGTAGTAGAGCACCTGAGACCTGGAGTTCAAAGCCCAGTATCGCTAAAAGAGGCAATTCAGCTTCTATTTTGGCTCCTTAGAAAAATCACTCTTGGAACCCAGCCACCATGCAGTGGGGAAGGCCACAATGCCTCAAGGGGTGGCTCACTTGGAGAAGAAATAACAGCTAGCACCAACTTGCAAGCCCTGTGAGACATCTTGGATCTTTTCTGACCCAAGTCAAGCTGTCTGCCTGAGAAAACATGAGCCCAAGATGTCTTCCTTGCCAAGTCCTGCCTGAACTGCATATTTGCCTGCTTCTAACCTGGCCCTCTCTAAAATATTCTGAAAGTATCTCTGCCCAGGGTAATTTACCTTCTTAGCTTCTTCTAGTCACAGATCCATCCATTCCAGATTTCTAGTTATTTGAAGTTCTTGTTCCCAAGCCCTCATTATTACCTCTGAGTGTTGGTTTTTCATTTTGAAGGAATTTGGGAATAATACAATACCTCCTCTTCTATATAATAAGTGAGATAATCCATGTTGCCATTTAACATTGTGCCCAGCACAAAATGCTTCTCATTATTCTTAGTAGGTTTCCTGTAATTGTGTTCCTATTTTCTTTAATGTGGTTTTTTTGTTTTCTTTCCACACTGCAATGCCATTTCACAGGCTATTTCCTGTGCCGCTATGCTCTTCCTTACCATCGGGAAGAGTCCTACTCATCATTTAGGACTTTGAAGATGCCTTCCCTGAATTCTAAAGCAGTTAGTGCCTATCTGTGCTCAAATAGCACCTTGGCGGAATTTTTAACCGCTTTTATTACACTGGATTGTGATTACTTGTCTCTCTCCTCCACTGGACTCTAACTTCCTGGAAGGCATGTTTGACGTTTCTTTTTTGTATTCTTATTCACTAAAATAGCACCTTTATTATTTTTGTTTGCAGTACTGGGCTTGAACTCAGGGCCTTCACCTTGAGCCACTCCGCCAGCCCTTTTTGTGTTAGGTATTTTCGACATACAGTCTCCCGAACTATTTGCCAGGGCTGGCTTCGAACCACGATCCTCCTGATCTCTGCCTTCTGAGTAGCTAGGATTACAGACATGAGCCACCGACGCCGGCAAAATTGAATTCATTCAGTTGCCATCAGTTATGTTACTGTGCTAGGAAACCCTGGTTAAGTAGTTAAGGCCTTGGCAGACCTTCCTGGGAACAAAACAGCTCCACTTTCTGTTGCTATAACCTTGGGAAAGTTAACTCTTAAACATCATGCTAAAATAGAGGCAACACCTTCTCTTTAAGAAAATGAAGTAAAATGCAGGCATGCATGCATGCAAAAAAAAAAAAAAAAAAACCTGGCAAGAGATTAATCATGAGGATGAAATGCCATTTGGGGAGCACCCCCACTCTAATCCTTCTTTAGGGCCCGCACTCATGGGTAATCCCGCTTTTGGGGATTCCTCTACATCCTCTAATCCTTTCCTTGGTCATTCATCCATCTAGCAACTCTTCATTTTAACGTCTGGGTCGGGGCGTTCAGAAGCCATTACTCTTCCACCCAACCCATTTTGCTACTCCTAGGTCTAGGGGTGTGTCAGGGCAGACTTAAGTGAAATTTAACCGTCAAGACAGTCTCGCAAGGGTCCCCCATAACCAGCGACACCCACGGCTTTGGTGTGGGAGGAAGGAGCGGGAGCATCAGCGGGTCCGCAGCGGCGGCGCTCGGGGACTCGCACGGCAGGAACGTTCAATGAACAATGATCGAATGAATGAATGGACTACGTCAGAGGCTGGGCCTCTGTTACGTCGCCCACCCCGCGCGAGTGGCCGCACCTCCGGGGCCCGCGGGCGCGGGCCGCCCCGTCCCTCGGTCGCGCGCAGGCTCGGCCGCCAGCGCCGGAGCCCCGCGCCACCTCCCCCAAGTCCCTGCCCTGCCGCGGCGCGTCACTTCCGCCACCCCACCCCCGGCTGGGGTTGGGGCGGGGAGCGCGGGGGAGGGGGCCAGGTCGGAGGGAAGCCCGCTCCAGCCCGCGCCCAAACAGGGACTACATTTCCCAAGGGGCCTCGGCGGCGGCGGCGGGCGCGGCAACGTCCCCCGGAAGTGGAGCTCGGAACTTCCACTCGTGCGTGAGGCGAGCGGTGCCGGAGACGAGAGCAGAGACCGAAGTCGGGATCTGACAAGATGGCCGGGCTACCCCGCAGGATTATCAAGGTAACCGTCCAGACGGGCCTCCGGCCCCGCGTTCCGTTCTTGTCCGCCAGCAGCGCCGGGCCGCACGGCTCATTGCGTCGTCCTGCCCGCGGCCCGCCATGAGAGGCCCGCGGCAGCGCAGAGAGGGTCTGGCCGAGGGAAGTCGGGCGCTGGGGAGGGGGCGCTGGGGCGACTTCCGGCCGCGGCGGGGCGGTGGGGATAGGGGCTTCGAGGCAGCCGCGCGGCGGGACGGAGAGGCCTGGCCCACGCGGGCGGAGGGTGGGGCGGCGGGGCTCCGGGGCTCCGGTCGGGTGCGGGCCTCCGAGGTCGCCCGGACCACCCGGGTGTGGAGGCCGCGGGCGCGCGGGAATTGCGGCGTGGCCGGGGTTCTGGGCTGAGAGCTGTGGCCCAGCCAGGCCACTCTGTCCCAGAACCCCCTTTTGGAGCTGCCGGAGCGCGGGGGTGCGGCAGCCCCGGGTGCAGAATGAATGAACCGACCGAGAGAGGCCGGGCGGGGCCCTGCACGTCCCGTTGGCACATGCTCGCCGGGCTGCCCGCGTCCGGGGTGTGGGGGTTCTGCGCCCCGGTGCCCTCGCTTCCGCGATCGCCTCTCCCTAGATACATTCCCGCCCCTTATCTCCGAGAAGTGATTTTACTCTAGTTGGCAAACTCTCTGTGAGTCGTTTCTGTTCCGAGGAAAGAGTTTAGCGCAAGGCTTCGGAGAGTCGCAGTTACGAGGGGGTGGGGTGGTTCTTCCCCTCCCCCATTGTGAAATTTTATTCCTGGATTTTGTGCGCGTCGATTACTAAACCATCATTCCGCCCTTTATGAATACTGCACTGTGACAGGTACCAAGAAAAATTCGCTGTCTTGGTTTTGTAAAGTCTGTATAACATCGTCGACTGCTCAGATGTGATAGGTTTCTTGCAAACCAGGAAAACTAAAAGTTAATTTTGGGGGATGGTGTTAATTTACATGAAAGAAATTAGTTGAATATCTGCACTGCTCAATATGCCTGTTAAAGTGACTAAATTACAACTTCACTTTGCTTTATGGAAACTGGTGGACATGTACTTAATGCTCGTTCTTCTAAGTTTCTGGGGAGGTGCATACTAAGAGGAATATCTGTCAGGCTTTGGAGGGTGCTATATTGTATGGTAAGTCTTTTAGTCACAACGAATTATATCTGAGGAAGGTGTCATTGACAGAAAGGTGGTTGATTTAGAAAAATAAGACCTATAAGGTAGAAATTCTTAGAAATGAGAGAATACATGGTCAGTGAGCACTGGAGTCTAGTAATGTTAGCCTTTATTGTTGTATTATGAATTTGTTTCAGATTCTCTCCAGGGTTTAATTGTCATAGGCATTGGAAGGGCCTTACAGAGTGGTTTTAGTTATGATGCAGTCACATGGCCACCAATGGTCGTGTTTATTGATGTCTCACTTGAAAAATGAAAGCTTTGCACCAAATACGGTTGAGTTTTTGTTAATGTAGGTTATGAACCAATTACATAGTACAAATTGATACTGAAGGTAATTCAGTAAAATACACATTGAACTAAACATTTCACATATATTTTCCTATTATTGCTTGAAGGTATTCTGCAGTAATACAAAAGCCTTGAGTAGAAAAATAAATTATCGTGGAACGTTATCAATTTTCAGGAATGGTTTAAAGCAGTAAGTTGAAATCTGCATAATTCAATTAATTTGACACATAATTAAGTTTACACTAAGCAGTGACCTTAGTGACAACTCATGCTATAATGTATAATCTTAATTTTAAAATATCTTATTGGTTACATCTCTCCAATGACTGCCTTGGTTTTATTGAATATTAGGTAACTTTAGTATCATTTATAGCTTTAAAGGACAGTTTTCTCTAATCTTGAGAAACGTTTAAAAGATTTTATGTATGTGTGTGTGTGTGTGTGTGTGTGTGTATAATGTCTATGCTTGTATATGTAGGTTCTATAATCAGTGACAATACTTTTTTTTAATAGTGCTGAGGATTAAACCTAGGTCTTTGTACATACTAGGTAGATGCTTTACCACTGAGCTGTACCCCCAGCAGAAACACTTAAAAAATTCCTTCTTATGTAAACCACTATACAAGGTTCTTTGTGGCATATAATAGTGGGTGTAGCTGTACTGTCCTGAGGTTATAGAGACTTGCTTTCTTTTATTGGATTGTTACTTTATTTCTTGGTAACCTTTGATTTTCAAAGGATGAAATTTACTGTTAAGCAGGTATGTGCAAGGCCCTGGATTTGATTCCCAGTACTGAAGAAAAAAAAAAGATGAAAGCAATCAAGAAAGTAATTTACTGTTCATTATAATTATTGGTGTTACTATTCTCATCTCACGGAAATACTAAGATTGATTTGGACATAGTCTAGTTTGGACACCTATTAATACAAGACTCTTCCACATAATAGTCATTATTTATACTTGCACTTTTCTTTAGCCATTTGATTTTTGCAGAAATTTTGTGAACTGGACAATATATTTTACAGTCTAGTAACTGATTCAAATGGCAAGAGGCAGAGCTTGGATCTTGACCTGTGTGACCTTCCCATCTCTTGTTATTGGGAAATGACAAAATGGATGTATAGGTATCTTGACAAGTATATTTAACTTTTAATTTTATTTTTGGCAGTGCTGGGATTTGAATTCAGGGCCTTGGTGCTTGCTAGGCAGGCACTCTACACCTGAGCCACTCCAACAGCCCTGTCAACTTTATATAACTTTACAGATATAAGAGGACTTTAAAGTTACCATTCAACCCAGTTGCCATCTCACTCAGATTCCATGTCCAATCCAGTAGCAAATTTTGTAGGATATACTTTCAAAATATATTTTAAATAAGACATGCTTTCCCACCTCTTTGGAACTCTTGCTTAATCCTGTCATTTTTTGCATGGCCTGTTGTATTAGTCTCCTTCTAATTGTTATTTTTTAAAAATATAGATCACATTACTCCCCTGTTAAAAACTTTACTGACGTTCTTCACACTTAAAACCCTGACTTCCCCCTATGTACAAACCCTTCCTGCACTTTGCGCCTGCCTACCTCTGAACTTACTTCCTGAGCTTGTCTCCTTGGGTTACTCTCCTACAGCCATACTGTTGCTTTGCTGTGCCTTGAACCAGAAGTGGCTGAGCTAATTCCAGTTATAGAGCTTCACTCTTGTGTTTGTTCCTTTGCTCACTGTGGCTTTGTCATATTCGTTGCTCACATGTCTGGTCCTCGAAGGTCTGCTTTAACTGTCCGGTGTAAACCACAGTTTCTTATATCCCTGTATCCTTTTTATTGTGTTTAGCACTTATCACTGCTCAGTTATGTGAGGACTTTGGGTTATGTAAGCATTGCTCATCAATGCTGAAAAGAGAAGAATCCTTGGCACATAGTAGGCACTGAAATATAAATTGACTTAATTTCTTTGGAAAGAAGTTTTAGGAGAGTTATTCTATTTTGTAATTTAATGTTAGTGCTGCTCAGCAGAGTTGGTCCAAACCAATGTCTTTAAGTGATTTTATTTTGGCAGCATTGGGGCTTGAACTCAGGGCCTCATGCTTGCTAGGCAGGCGCTCTACCACTTAGGCCACTCCGCCACTCCATTGGTATCTTCCAAACCAATGTTTTGAGCTGAAAACTAGTCTCTTATTTCACCCATAGTTCATTAAAAAACAGAATGTATCAGTTTTTTATATTATTGACTAGGACATAGAGCAGGTGTGCAGGGTTGTAAAGGGAACATAGAGAAAAGGAAGACACTGATCTGTCCTTGAGCGTTCCAGTTCCCTCCTCACACAACCACTGCTTTTAGTGTGTTTCCTTCCAGAAAGACCAGAGAATGTAAGGAACACTTTTTCCCTCTTCATGCAACCCACTCAACCAAACGATGATTTACCTTCCAGCTGACTTTTTTTTTTTTTTTTGGGTGGGACTGGGGTTTGAACTCAGTGTTTTGAACTTGCAAAGCAGACACCCACAAAGCAGGTGCCCTACCACTTAAGCCACACCTACCGAACATTTTGCTTTTGTTATTTTTGGAGATGGTGGTCTTGTGAAATGTTTGCCTGGGCTGGCTTCAAACCTTGATCCTCCTGATCACAGCCCTCAAGTAATTAGTATTACAGGTGTGAGCCCCACACACCCTAGTGTAACTCATTTTTTAAAGGGCTGCTTTGTGGAAGTTGTGATTAAACTTTAACTAATTGCTTATTGATCACTTTTAGATTGTGCCCCAAAATTGTGTTATATAGACAATGCTGTAACAAAAGTTTTGTATATATGGCATTTTATGTGTAATACTGAGTTTTAATAGTTGCTTTTTTTTTGCTACCGTTTTTTTGTTTTGTTTATTTTTTATTATTTTTTTTTTGCCAAAAAAGTGGTTTGAACTCAGGGCCTAAACCTTGAATCACTCCACCAGCCAGTCCTTTTTTGTGATGAGTTTTTTCGAGATAGGGTCTCATGAACTATTCTTCAGGGCTGACTTCAAGCCACAGTTTTCCTGATCTCTGCCTCCTGAGTAGCTAGGATTACAGGCGTGAGCCACCAGTGCCTAGTTTAGCTACAATTTTAAGATTTCTTTTTTCTGTTTTCTCTCCTTGGCCAAAACTCTTAATCTGTGAGTGACTGAGTAATTAAAATTTAAGTCACAAAGATTTAAAAGGTACCTAAAATACCTCTAAAATGAGAGATTTTCTCTTCCTTGCATAAAGAAGAACCAGGAATTATTTTAGGAACAATAAATCACATTTATTTCTCAAAACAATTTCTTTCAGCTCTATGTTTGTTTGATACATTGTTCTTTTGTTTTTGAGACAGGGTCTCACTACATAACTAACCTAGAACCTGGAACTTGAGATCCTCTTGCCTTTGCCTGTGGAGTGCTAGGATTATAGTCTGGTCCAGCCAGATTCTTAAATACCTGATTTTGCTTTGAGACTTGATTTCTATATGTTTACTTTTCAATAATTATGATCTTTAAAGAAGAAAGGTATCATTTGTTT